ACACTTGTAATCCATAAACCTTTATTGTATTCCAAAATGTACTTCTTCCACCATACTTCCTGATAATTCTGTTGATAGTCACTTTTAACAATTTTGCAATCTTGATTTTGTCATTAAAGAAATGAGTATTATCAAGTACATTTGGTGGCCCAGAGACTTCCCCAACAGCAAATTCCAAGTTTGTCAAATTCAATTTCCAGATTATGTCTACTTTTTGTCCATGATCTCTATTTTCTCCATCCTTCTTTCCCAAATTACATTCCTCGGACAAGGCAAACAAACCATTTTCACCACTAAATAGAAACCTATTTCAGTACTTTGTTAAAGAAATCTACAATGTAAACAACTTCTAACAGATTCAATCATTGGTGCCTTACAAATATATTTTCACTTCATCATGTGTTCCACAAAACAAACTCCTGATTAATGGAGAAAAAAAATTTTCTCTATATCCAAATTCTGACAACTCAAGGTCAGCAAGGTCATTGTTGTGTTCAAAGGAGTCCGCTCTAATAAAGAGATTAAAATGTGAGATATAAGATATGCTTACCACAAAGATGAGAATAATCGTTCTTACAGAAGATTTCCAAAGTCCCACACAAACTTCATAGCATTGTTTTCTCATGTCTTTGTATAACTCTCATCAATCGTTTTACAAAAATCTTTTTCCTTATATATTGTAAAAACAAGTTAATTATTTAAAAGATCACTATCATCATTCTAACATTAAATAATATATGTTCTTATGTCTTATCATTAAGTGTTGTAACTTTGGTATTAGTAATACCTTAACAAGTTTCACAATATGACTTTTCAAGCTTAAATCAGTTATAATATTTAATGGAGGAGATGATCCAAAGGATTTTATTTCATCTATTGATAAGCTTGGTAATGATGGGATAAATCTACTGCTTGAAGTTGATGTAACATCAATTATATCATACCATGCTAAACTGTAAATTTTTATTAGTGCCTATAATTTTTCATTTCATAACATTTAAAAAAACCCTTACTTGGTAGATAATGTATTATTTTTGCTTTGCCATTCAGATAAAATCCTGCGCACATCAATTTCAGAAACCTTGAGAATCCATCTACCATTATTATTTGTATTGTTTGTATTGCTTCTTCCAATTTATTTATATCATCATTGGATGATGATGGAAGACTATAAAAAGGATTCCGATGAAGATGATGTGTCTTGTGTAAGCAAATGCAAAGCCAAAGTTTTGCTAAATATATACATATGTTAATTGATTATTTTTTAACTGAACTTACTATTCACAATTTTCATCATTTAATTCTAATAAAGGTGTTAATGAGTCTTGTGTCACGAATTGCGTCTGCGTCTTACGTCTGCGTCAATGCGTCTCACACTAAACTAATTGCGTCACACGACTTTTAATTTTGACGACATGTATACCCAATATATACCTAAAAACAGTTTTAGGTCACGTGATATACAATATTATCAAAAAATTTCAATATAACCTAATTAAAACTAAAAACAACAACAAAAGTCTATGTAAAAACCATAATTCGTAAGTACGAGTAATTACAATCATAATTTCCACTGATATCTATTATACATACATATATATATATAAACAGTGATGGACTCAAAGCAAAAGATTTACCATGTTTGTTGGAAGAAACATCAAGACTAAAGATGGCTCCTCAATTGATTGTGACTAGCTGCAACTAGTCATGGTATATAAAAATTTATCGCAGCATATGAAAATTGAATCGTGGCTAAAGCTCCGAAACGGGCCAGGCTAACCCGAAATTTTTCGGGTCGGGCTCATTCGGGTTTAAAAATTTTGACCCGAAACCCGAAAACTTTTTGGACTGTATCAATTATACTTGAGGTCAAATTGCAAATAAAAATCCTAAAAAATTGCATTGCGCCACCTGTCATAATTTATACAACTGATGCAATTCGTGATGCAAGTCTCAATTCATGGTGCAAACGTGATTCATGACAATCTATTAGCTAACAAAACCTTTTTAGCTATGAATCATTGATGTCACATTAAAAATTAAAAAATTAAAAAGTTTTCATACAATAAATAAAGAGTTTTATATGTGGTTAAAGTTGGAATTAATTCATACACACATCATGATTGTGTCTTGTGTAGTGATGATGGCTGAAATTATTTTAGCAAATCTGAAATAGTTTATCTATAGAAATTAGGAATTTAGGCTCTAAATTAGTAACGAAACTTAAAAATTATCTAAGCTATGACAAACTCCTAAACTGTGGTTAAATTGTCAAACCTATGACGGATTTATCGAAGCGCTGTCCAATCGTATGCCGCCGGACATGCGATCTATATAGTCTCTTTCGTTTTGTATTTTTTATTAATATTTTATATTTTCATTTTTATTATTTATTTATATATTTAACCTAATTCGTTTTGTAATAATAAAACAAATCAATTCTTTTTTCGATAAAACACTTTTTTAGTCGGAAATTAAACAGTAGAGTTTAATTGGCCGCTTGGTTTTCACCGTAGTTTAGGTTTCGCCAACTTCGCCGCAAAATTAGGCCTAAACTATGGTTAGTTCCGGCTATCATCCACTAACCCTGTGTCTTTAATTATGTATTGCGTCACGACTTGTCTTGAGTTACATCTCGAGTCACTAATTGCCTTGAGTTACATCTTGAGTCACTAATTGCGCCCTACATCTCTTGCATCATGAATTGTGTTTTGCGTCATGCATAGCACCAATTGCAGCTTTTGAACCACTATAACTGTTTCGCCTTTTATATTTAATTAATTATTATTATCTAAATTTATCACAAAATTTTCTTATTAACCCGAAATCAACCCGACCCGTTAGGAGCTTTAATATTGAGTACCAAACATTAATAGATCTTTTAGATAATTTAGTGCCTGCTGCCTTGGACATCTACAGTGTAATCTTTCGATCAGGTTCTTGTGATCAGTATGTAGACACAATTTTTAGGTTATGAACTTTTGCACTTAGATGGGAGAAAAAAAATTATAATAAAATACCATTAGCCTTTCTCTCCGATTATTTCTATTGGAAAGACAATAAATAACTTTAATAAGGCAGGTTTCTGGATTATTTTTGAGGGAAATCAATTAATTAGTTGAATAAATCCTGGATTAGAGATAGGGCTCAAAAAATCTGTTTTTGACTGATTAATTGAAAATCATCCTTTTTATTTATCACTTATTTCGCTTATCAAAAATTATGTTATTGATTCAGAATCAAAAGATTACGACAATCATGATTATATGCCTAGAAACATCGTCATCAAATTCATCGCATCATTAAAGTTTTTTGTTCGAAATGATCGACGTTACACTTCCATAACCGATAAATTTTGTCAAATTTTCCATCATTTTTAAAAAATAAAAATGTCCAAGAAGGTAATATCACCGCCACCAATAGTAAATGATATCACTGAAACTATTGGCAATACACCGATTGTAAATTTAAAATCATTAATAAACAAACAAAAACCAAATGATTTATCAAGTTCAAAGATAGAAATTTTGGCTAAATTAGAATATTTGAATTCTTTGTCCGGAAGTATTAAAGATAGAGTTGCGAGAAAGATTTTAATTGGTTTGATTTTTGTTATCATTGCAAGGGAATAATAATATTATTATTATCATCATCAGGATTCATCTTAATAAATTAATTGGTTGATTGATTAATTTTTAGATGCAGAAGCTTCTAATAAAATAAAATCAGGTTCTACATTATTAATACCAACAAGTGGAAATCTCGGTATGTACCTCCATTTTATCATTGATAATCATTCAACAATTATAATTAATAATAATAATATAATAATAATGTGGTTTAGGTATTAGTATAGCATTATTAGCGCAAAGGAAAGGATATAAAACAATAGCACTTATACCAGAACGTACATCAATAGATCGTGTAAATTTATTAAAAACCTTAGGTGTAGAAATCATTAGAACACAAAATGAAGTATATGAAAGTTCTTCTGAAAGTAATGTTAATATGGCAATTAAATTATCAAACGAGATTGCAAATTCTTTTGTAATCGATGAGGTGAAAAAATATTAGGTTTTTAATGTCTAGTTTTTTATCTAAAATTATCTCTTAAACCAATAATAATAATAATAATAATAATAATAATATCATCATCATCATCAGTATGCTAGTCAAAGTAATTTACAAACTCATTATGAAGAAACTGCGGAAGAAATTTTTCTTCAAGTTGATGGAAATCTTGATGTTCTTGTTATTGGAGTAGAATCCGGAGGTTATATCAATCTTTTAAATACATACATATTGTGAAAATTCAATTATTAATATATTTTTTAATGTATCATATTATTATTATTCAGGTAGCATCACAGGAATTTCCAAGTATCTTAAAAGTAAAATACCTGGCTTAAAAGTAAAGATTAATAATTTTTAAAAGTTAAAAAATATAAAATTATAAAACTGAAAGAATATTTAATGTTAGGTAGTAGCAGTAGAACCTCAACATTCAAGAATACAAGAAAATAAACCAATCTTACCAACATCATTCAAGGTATGTCTTACTGCTATATACGCATCGATTTTTTTTTTCTCTTTACACAACAGTATTTAGACAAGTCATTAATCATTGTATCATTGTTGTTAATAATTGGGGAAAAAGGATCGTAAAGTTGAGGATATTGGAAACAATTTTACTCCAAATGTTTTAGACAGATCACTTATTGATTTATGGATGAAAATTAGTGATAAAGATTCATTTACAATGGCTAGAAAATTAATTGCTGAAGGATTTCTAGCTGGTATGTAAATCCAGATCAAAAATTAAAATTATTAAAAATACTGCAAAATAATAACTGATAATTAAATAATTTATGTTGAATTCAGGATCATCATCAGGAGCTGTTGTACACGCAGCTATATTATATGCAAAAAATTATATGTCAAAAGAAAAGCAAACAAGAATCTTAACAATTTTGAATGATACAGCAAGGAATTATAGTAGTACATTATTATCTGATGAATGGCTTTTAGAAAATGATTTAATGGATGACGAAACATTTAAAAAACTTGAATATCAAAAGCTTGAAAAATTCAGAGCCGTAAGACTTTTTAAATATCATTCATTCATTTCATTTTTTATATATAATATATATATATAAATAATAATAAATTATTTCATATCATCACGCATGTTTCTTTTATAAAGGCAAGTGTAGAAGATTTACAATTGCCAGCTGCTTTAACAATATCACCAAATGTAAAAATATCTCGGGCAATTGATTTAATGATTGAAAGAGAATTTTCTCAATTACCAGTGATTGATTCTCATAGAAAGCTTATTGGTTATGTTTCTTTAGCATCATTACAAACTCATTTAAGTAATAGTGAAGCAAAAAATGATGATGAGGTTTCAAAATGGATGTTTTATTTTGGAGATAACAACAACAATAATGATAATGATAATGACAATAATGGTAGTAACAATAATAGATCAAAAAAATCAAAAAAAAAATATCAATTAATCACTCCAGACACGCCATTATCAGAATTATCTAAATTTTTTGAAAAACATAGTTTTGCGGTTATTACTGATTCTGAACGTAAATTTTGTTTAGGAATTACCACAAAATATGATTTAATTCATTTTTTAAATCATAGAAATTCAATGTTTTAAAAAAAGAAAAAACTATGCACAATTACAATTATTTATAATAAATTATTTATTATTGTAGCTATTAAAGACACTTATCTCTAAAGATACCATCTATACCATTACCATTACCATTATCATTATATATAATCTGTCAAAATATATTTATTTAACATTATTAATTAAATAATAATATTAAAAATAAAAATAAAGTCTTGCAATTTCTAGAAATGTTTATCATTAATAATCCTCATTTTGTATCAATCAAGACCTTTCAAGTATATTCTGGAATCAACATTTTTAGTGTTTCCTTGACCATCGAATAAAATTGGACCACACAAACTTGATTTTTCGGTTCCTGTGACTAACGTTTCAGTCATAGACAGAAGTTTTGTATGATTGGCTAATTTTTTGTAGATCATTTCTTAATATTTGTAATTTAATTTTATTACATTTTGGCACGAATATTTTCTTTATCTAAGATGTTCTTTATTTCTTTCCTTGATTAATAAGAATAAGAATATATATTAAATAAATCATTTTACACGTTTAATAAAGTTGTTCATTATGCAAAAAATGTTTGTTATTAATATTAATTTGCACACAACAAATTTATGTTTGTTAATTTTTGAATCAAAAAATTTGAACTCTTTATAACAAAATTGTTTTATTTGTCATTGTTCATTATGTCAATGAATCATTTAGTGTAGTCTTTGTTGATTTGAATTAAAAATTCAAAAGGTTCTTTAGGTTCTTTCTCTTTATATCATGTACAATGGATTGTTTAATGTAATTAAAACTTAAAAGTTTGTGTAATATAATAAATGCTGAAAATTTTGTCTTGTATTTTTGAATCAAAAATAAAATAAATTCATCAAATATTGAATAAAAATATCAAATACCTTTAAATTTAAAAAAACCAAATTCATAAGAATTCTTCCTTTTTTATTCATTAAAATAAACCATGCCAAAACCAAAAAACCTTGGCCCATGTGTGTTATCTAGTTGTGAGAATGATGCACCGTTTTGCAAAATGACTGAATATACTATTGAGAAAATAAGAAGAAAAGATTCAGAAAATAAATACAACTTTATTAAAAAAGATGACCAACTATGTTATAAACATTATCTAGGTATAGTTGAACCTGATAGAAATGATAAAAGCAGAAAAAAATCCACTGAATCATTGAGCATTGATCATTCAAGAAATTTACATATAGAAACTAAAGCCTCTTCTAGTCAAGTAATTAACAATGACGAAATAGATTGGTCTAAAATTAGAGTTAATTTTACTGAAAAAAATGTCACAATGTCAAGGGAGGATTTTTCATTATTAGTTGATAATATACCTCAAATGAAAAATTTACTCTATGTTGATCAAGAAAATTCAATTATTGATGTAATGGATGAAGTAGAAGATTCTAATGCAGATACAATAAATAGAGAGGCAGATAAAGGTAATTAATTCTTTGAGTGTTATTAATTTAAAAATTGTCGAATTATAAAATTATCCTTGCTAATAAGTAGAGACAGAAATATTTATTTATTGTTAATTTAATTCACTTGTAAAAACAATTTTGCACATAATAATAAATAAATAAATTCTTTGTTTTGCTTTATAAAATCACTTTTGTAAGTCGGAAATTAAACAGTAGGGTTTAGTTGTCCATTTGGATATCAGAATGGTATAAAGCAAATGTTTTGATGTTGGTTAACCGATGTAGTGTTAACAACAGGTTGCATAGAAATTTTCAGTTTCAGATAGCATTTATTCTGTGATATTTCCCAATTCATAATTAATTTCATTCGTCACCTGTAATTAATTAATCTCGTCGCCCGTAATTAATTTCATGATTACATTTTTAAGAGGGAAAGTGGTAATTGATTACAAAATTACGAATTACATATTTGCAGCAATTAGGTAATTACCATCTCATGTATATTTCCAGAATGATATCTTTTCAGAGATATAACTTTGTAATAATTAATGAAATAGACACATTTTAAATTCATTTACAAATTGTAAATTGTTTTGTAACACTTTCTGATAATTAATGGTTTAGCCAACCTTTAGCTGAAATCTAGCTGGTGAGTGAAAGTTCAGTTTAGGATTGGAAACTCAGTTACACACTTGCAATATCCATATCTGATTAAATAATGAAAGTGACTGAAGTTCTGTTAGCAAATTCTAAATATATTGCTTCTGTAAATGCAATCATAATTATACTTGCTGCCCAAAGTATAGTATCCCAAATAGGTAAAGACTTTTGAGTGCAAAAGTCCCAAATACCAACCCCCCGAAATACCATAAAACTAGTACAAATTGGTGATTTATGCAAGACACATTCTAAATTCGTATCTAAAATCCATGGGTTTTGGATTTGGGACTTTTTGGGTTTGAGTTTTGAGTTTTGGGTTGGGGACTTGCCTTTTGAGTTTGGCCAGCAAGTATAATCATGATGATTCCATCATTATACGAAAATGTATCCCAATAATAATTTGCAGGAAATTAGTGGCCTTACCCCACTGGCTATTAGTAATTGGTCTGGATAATTGGTTGAATCAAATTTTTAATAATCAAGTAACCAGTTCAAATAGTCGTAAAACACCCAATTATCTAGATGGAAATATACTTCTAAACCATACATATTTTTATTAGAACAACAATGATAGGATTCTTTTTGCAGACATCGTAGCTGTCACATAAAATGGATTTATCGAAGTGCCGTCCAATCGTATGTCGAACATGTGACTTATTAATATATATCATTACTATTTATTTCACATTATATATTTTACATAATTATCAATAATTTTATTTATTGGAAAAAATAACTTGATTATTAGATGATATGCTACAGATCTAACGGGTTTTATTCAAAAGAAGTATCGGCACCACTTCAACAATTTATTTGACAATGACACTGATATATTAAAAATATTAGGTTTCAAAACTTATGTAAGGTGACACATGGGGTTTGTGATCATATGATCTCTAAGCAAAGAGATCTAAATGTTGTGTAATAGATAAAACAGAATGACCTACAGTTATTTATAGGTTTTTTTCAATTATGAACTTATTTTATAATATATTTATGTTTTTCTCTTGAGTAATAAATATGTTTTTTAGGATTTATTGATCTTGCAAATTTGACACATCATTGAGAAATTTATAATAAAAAATATACAAAGATTGATGACAATGAGCCCTAATTCATTCGTGTGTGTTATCATAATCATATTTTTGTAATTATTTATTATTTTCTCATAAAACAAAAATTTTAAATAAATTAGAAGAATTATAAAACAATTAGTAAAGTAAATATAAATAACAGTCCCGTGCTATTTCATCATTATTGTGTAAACAGATATATGTTTAGAAAGAATTGACAAATGAATTAAATAAATGTATATATAAGATTTTAATTACTTACTTTCAAAATATTATTGTCAAATTTCATATTGCAAACAAATTCAGAATCCAATGGTTGATGGAAAAAAGCTTGAAAATCAAGACACCAGCTATGAACAACACAAATGAAAGATACAAAAGAAATCTTTTACTTTTTAGGTTTTCCATTTGATTCAATACTTTGGTTGTTGGACGACGAATAACATATCTTTCACGAGTTCTTTTCTCTCCAATCCAGCAGTATCTTTGAACCTCGTAATATTTTTCGGTGGAAAAGGTATAACTAATTACCTTTTGAAATGATGGTTCATCCGAATTAGCAGCCTGCATGAAGTCGGATATAATACTCTTTGGTTTTCCAGCCTTTTCCTCCTCCTAATATCAAAATATAACATCCAAATAATATATGCATGTCAAGTAAATAAATAAATAAATTTGTAAAAAATTAATTTGTGCTATTATTACTCTAAATTTTTCAATTTCTTTATCACGAAGTTTTTGTAATCTTGGACTTATATATCTCTCAAACAACTCAATCAAATCTTTTTTCTTACTATTATGTGAATAGTGAACGTTATTTAGGGTCAATATCTCCTTCAGTTTGTGCATACTGTCTTGTATAGGATTGTACCTGGGGTCCAAATAAGATCGTTTTTTTGGGTCCATTTTTCTAATAATTACTTTTAAACTTTAAAGTCAGATATATTATCAGGAATAGAACCCCAGAAATTTATACCATCTTGTTTATATTACTTTTAAAATGCAAAAATGCATGTCAATAAAATGTAAGACTCCAAGTAAATTATTCTTTTATTAGTAAAAAAAAGATCTGCTGTGACATTGAAGAAGCCAATCAAGTTTTTTTTAAAATTTTCTGTAATTAGAAAATTGGCATTTCTCATATATAGGACAGTTCTGTGGCTAAATATACAGAACCTTCCTAATTTGAAAGTGGCACCTATGATCTGCATGATTTTATAGACCTGAATTAGCAAGTGCTAATGCAGATCATAGGTGCCATTTCCAAATTAGGAAGGTCCTGTATATTCAGCCACAAGACCGGTTCATAGGTAATTAATTGAATTCTGATGATAATAATAATCTTTTTCCCAACGAGTTCTTTGACAATATCTTTTCATTGATTATTATTATTATTATACTATATTTAAATACTTCTTTTTGGTGCACAATGCAGAAATAAACATACAAGTTTTGTCAATACCCAATTAAAGGGTGTCATTTGTGACTTTTAATCATATAAAAAAGAGCAATTCTACCCAAAATTGAAACCTGCCAAGGTTCTTGTTGGATATTAATTGATGCTGCATAACATGTTAATCTAATTTGTTTTGTTGATGGATTTACCCGAACTCGGTTAATTATAAGATTATGGTAATAGAGTTGAATACGATACTGGCGTCCTATTTGAATTTTGCTGTATTGGAAGGGGAGTGCATATTATTTTTATAATTTGTTTATTCATCATTTTTTGAATTTCCTCATACCAATCACTGTGAGCATTCTTTATATTTGTTTGTACAACCGGGTTAATGAAAGACACTTTTAAAGTTCATTCACGCAGTAAACTTTGATTTGAAACAAATCAAACATGTCGCAAATCTAATTTATAATTCATATAAAAATTTAATTTTCTTTAAAGTACGTACAAATTTGTTTTTCTTCTAATTGTTTTTTACATTTTCTTTTTCGATCATTCACGATAATTTCTTTCTTTAATCGAATTTTTTCTAAAAATACAACGATCAATAAAATAAAAAAACTAGGCGATTTTTTCTCAATAATCGGTTAATAACAAATATATAACAAGTCCATAACATACAATATTATAATAAATGTCAGATGTTCGAGTTAACTCTCTTATAGACAACCGATATTATCCTGGTGATATAGGTTGGGTATTAGTATCTACAGCTTTGGTGTGGTTAATGATACCCGGCGTTGGTTTTTTTTATGGTGGTATGGCAAGATCTAAAAATGCATTATCACTTTACTTTTTGGGGATTTTAACTGTTGCTGTAGTTTCCTTGCAGGTAAAAAACGGGAAGTTAATAGATTATTAATTAAATTAAATTATCTAAATTATTATTTTTGTTTTAATATTTTAGTGGTTCATGTTTGGATACAGTTTAACATTTAGCACAACAGGAAATGCATTTATTGGCAATTTCGATAATGCTTTATTTCTTGGATTAAAATCTGGCCCATCACCTGTTTCAACTCGTATACCTGACTTGTTATATGCCACCTATGAAGGAATGTTTGCCGCAATTACGCCTGCTATAGCCATAGGTGCAGCCGCAGAAAGAGCCAGAACATTACCAACATTGGTGTTCATATTTATTTGGTCGACGTTAGTTTATGATCCGATAGCTTCTTGGACTTGGTCTGAACATGGGTGGTTTAGGGTTACAGGTGGATTGGATTATGCTGGAGGGACACCTGTGCACATATCTTCCGGAGCTGCTGCACTTGCATGGTGTTTGATTCTTGGTAAACGTAATGGCTATGGAGTGCAAGAATTCAGAGCCAATAATATGTCAAATGTGATTCTTGGCACGGTTTTCCTTTGGTTTGGATGGTTTGGATTTAATGGTGGTTCGGCATCTAGTGCTGATATACGCGCAATAATTGCCTTCACTAATAGCAATCTAGCAGCGTCAACTGGTGGACTTGTTTGGATGATGATGGATTACAGATATGAAAAGAAATTATCTGTAATTGGATTTTGTTCAGGTGTGGTGTCAGGATTAGTTTGCATAACGCCTGGATCAGGATATGTTAATGTTCAGTATGCTCCATTATTTGGGTTGATTGGTAGCGTCAGTTGTAATCTTGCATTGAAATTGAAAAGTCTTCTCAGTTTTGATGATGCTTTAGATGTTTTTGCTGTACATGGGGTGGGTGGATTTGTTGGTAATCTCTTAACTGGTTTGTTTGCTGATAAAAACGTTGCAAGCTTATCAGGAGAAGAAATTCAAGGTGGTGCGATCAATGGATATTATCGACAATTTGGAATTCAGCTTGCTAATTCACTTGCAGCATTATCGTATTCGTTCGTATTTACATATCTAATATTATTTGTAATAAACAGAATTCCACATTTGTACATTAGAGTTGATGCTAAGAATGAAGAACGTGGCATAGATGAAGTGGAATTGGGCGAACAAGCGCATTATTTTGTTGAAAGGTATTCATCTGCATTGAAAGATCTAACAGCTACTAAATCCGCATTAGCTAAATCCAAATCAAATGCATCTTTAAATAAACATTTTCGACAACAAAATCTTCACAATCAACGAATAGAAGAAATACCATTACCACCAACTCATAATTACATATAAATTATATAATTATACAAATATTGTACTTTTTTTTTAATCTTTAATATTTTTTTTTAACTTAATTTTAATATAATACTTAAAATTTATAAAACATTAAATGAAAAAGTTAGTAATGCTTGTTTTGTTTGTATTGAATTTTGAATACATACCATATGATTTTTATTATTTTCAATGATTTTAATTCATTATAATCTGCTTGTGTATACATTATTTTGTTCAATAAATTAAAAACAGCTTTATAACATCTTATTCAATTTGCTCGAGAGAACTAGGAATTTCCTATTTGGCTGGCATTGCATTTCATTAATCTCATCGTCATCATCAATTGATATATATTCCTCTGCTATCAATGCTGGATTGAAATTTGTATATCAATTAAATCGTCAACATCATCTTTTTGATCATTTATAATATTTTGTATTTAATATTGTTTCATCTCCAACTTATTCTTCTTCATAATCTAAAGGAATGATATCAGTTTTCATCCAGCAATTATTAATAGTGATGGATGTAACATTTTTCCAAGCTTTCGAGACAAATTTTATTGCCTTTCTAATATCAAATTTCTTTTGGATCCAAACCGTTTTGTTTTTTATCAAAAATTTTAATCTTCCTCACAATAAATAATTTCTGGTAATTAGACTGTAAGTATAAACACATTGTTATTATATAAATAATTTAATATATTTCTTTTAATATAAATAATTAACATTAATAATAATTTAATAATTCGAAATACAAATCTTAAAAAAATAAAATTATCCCTGCATCTCATTGTTGCAAGCACGCAGTTGTGTTTTGGTTGAGGGTTTCATATTTATGAATAAATAAAGGAGGTAACCAGTTGCAATACAAGTCTTACTTTTCTTTATTTAACTTTAAGCTTGGCATGGGGTTGTTGATAATCCGTGAGTTGGTTCCATTTACCAATAAAAACCTCCTGTTTCATCACAGTTAAAAATATCCTCCTTTCTACACTTTTTAAGAACATCTTTCAATTCTTCTCTCACTTCAGGAATCTGTTCAATAGGTGCACTTTGAGATTCTCCACGTTTACTATGTTCTTTAATCAAATACCCCTGTTTGAGTTTATCTGCCAATTTTAAAGCCTTTTGTTGAATAACATTACCTGTAATTGTTACATTCATTGCATTCAAACATCTTCAATACTAGCAACAGGAGAAGTATGTGCTTTTTTTAATTTTGCTTGATAAGAATTTGGATCGATTCCAAGCCATCTATTAGACTATCAACATGTTTTTTGGAAGAAGATGATAATTGTTGAGATGTTCTATAATAATAATTTACCCTCTAAAAAAATCTGATTCGTGATGAAGAGATTACAGGGGAAGATGGACTTTGCCACTGTGGAAATTTTCAAGAGTAATTCTGGAATTAAAATTTCAAAAAATTTTTTTCATAGAGGTTAAAGAAATTAAAGAAACTATTAATTGTGTATGTAAATAGCATTAGAATATATTTATTTATTATCAATAAAGGAAACTTAATCCTACTTTTTGGGTAAATAAAGAATTATTATTTGGAAATGTGGAGAATTTTGATTTATAATACAGAGGCACAGATGCACGGAATACAGAAAAGTTGTTCAGTATATTAATATATACTAATGTTAATACTAATACACTGTACAAAATACCAAACTGGGAATTGTATCACGTGAATCCATTGTAACGCAATTAATAACACTTATGGTAGTGATAGGACCCTCACTTTATTACCATTTTGGAAATGATTTACAAAATCATCGCAAAATTTATCCTAATTAACAAATAATATAGGCCAAAAACTGAATGTGCTAGTACCATCTCCTAAAATTGTTCATGATTCTAAATTGGGGTCTGTCATGTGTAACAACATATCACATGACAAATCGTTCGAAAACACGTGATACTGGTAATACTAATTAATTTATGGCGCTCTAATTTGTGGCTCAGTAGATTATAAAATAAAAATTGATATTTTCTAAAATTGATTACATACTTTAAATTTTCATTATTCCTTATTTAGACTTTTGTTGTGAGAATAACATTTATCCAATATATAAAGTTCATTGAAAATAGCATTAAATACGCCTTACATTCAACACATTTTTATTATCAGTATTATTATTAATGGCTAGTTCATTGGTAATCGATGATATTACTTTGAACGAGGATCTTGAAGAATTGGAACTCGAATGGCCTTGTAAGCAAGCAAGCAACATCAATTTTATCTATTGCTATTATGATTATTATCATGCTTAGATCTATCTGAAGAAATTATTTCTACATTAATGATTAATATTAATAATAGTAATACATATTTCTGTTCTTTGCTAATAATATAATTCTAGCTTCAGACTCTGAACTTTCTGATCACAAACGTTCTTGTTATACAGTATGCAATTTTATCATTATTATTATTGAGGAGATTTGGCTTTGTAAATAAATATACAATTATTATTATTTATAGCTTCGAGAAGTTACAGCGCGAGATGCAGAAAATGGAACGGATGTGGTATATATATTTATAAATAAAAAATAAATGTTATTTATTGGTTAAATGATAAAGTATAATTTACATTATTTTTAATTAGCAAGGAATTAATTGGGATTCTTTCAATGTAACACGGCAAAGATATCGTGAAGTTCGGTAAATATATTATAGATTATAGATTAATGAATTAAGAAAGGAACAAAAAAAAGACATTAAAAAATATCTTTATATTTATAATTATAGTCTTAAGAATTATAAAAATTATGAAAATGTTCAGGGGTCCTATGATCAAATAAAAGAGGTAATGAATTATTAATTAACATTGACTATTGTGTGATATTTATTATTCTTATTCTTATTCTTATTCTTATTCGTATTCTTATTCTTATTCTTATTCTTATTCTTATTCTTATTCTTATTAATAATATATTATATATTATTTTAGGAAATAAAACCAGTTCGTAATGATGGCGAATTTTTCAAATTTAAATATACAACACTTTCACATAAATGCTCTATTGTTCATTTTCAATTGAGAAATTTGTTATGGACAACCGGAAGAAATGATATATTTTATACTCGTATGTTCAATGATATAATTGTAATTGTGTAGTTATATATAATTTTATATTTCTAATGATTATCTATTTATAGATTCATCACGTATCAATTATTGGAATTCTATTATGAAGAAATCTAAAGTCGCATTGGATTTAGATCAAGCTTTTGAAATCAGTACAATCGCATGCAGGAATAATTTTTTACTTGTTGGTGGTAAGTAATAAATTAATAATTATTATTTTTTATTTTTAAAAATTATATAATTTCATTACGCATATATACATATTTACTATTTTGTTATAGGATTATACGGCGAGTTTGCATGCCGGCGCCTTGATGCCGAACCGATACATTTTGGAACAGTAACTACAGATGCAAATGGTATAACAAATCATATGGATATCATTGAATCTCGAACTGGAAGTAAGTAATAAATCGTTTAATGATTATTTTATTATGAAAATAATTATTAACATTATCATGCTTTATTTTTTTAAAAAAATAATAGGTACTGTTGCTGTGATATCTAGCAATGACAAAAAATCCCGAATAATGGACCTCGCGTCATTAAAGTTTATCGACACATACGATTTTGAATGGGCTGTTAATGTATTTTATTTTTATATAGTTCTGAAGATTATGCTTAAGAGGTTTAATTCATTATTTTTTAAAAAAACAATAGTGCACATCAGTCAGTCCAAACAGAGATCTTTTGTGTGTTGTAGGCGATGATACAGAAACTATGATCGTTAGTTCAGAAACAGGCAAAGGTATGCTAAAAATAAAATGAATGATATACTATTTATTATTTTTATCGTTATCTATATAATTATATTTATATTTCAACTATTTATGATAAAATATAGTTGTATCCGTTCTAAAAGGTCACATTGATTATTCGTTTGCATGTTGCTGGAGCCCAAACGGAAGAACAATTGCGACAGGAAATCAAGGTAATATATATATACACATATATATGTTCTCATTTAATTTAAGTTAATAATTTTCATATTTATCGCCGAGAATGTTAAAATAATATCTAATTATATTTACTATTAGATAAAACCACCAGGTAAATAAATACAACCGAGTTGTGGCTTATTAAAATTTTAAAAAATATATATAAGATCTTTAATTGAAAAACCTTCTTTGTTAAAAAACTATTTTGATAAATAAAAAAGATTATATGATACAAGGAATATGTCAAAATCATTTGCTGTATTAGGTGCTAAAATAGGAGCTGTAAGATCACTTCAGTTTTCAGCAGACGGACGATATCTTTCAATGGCAGGTTAGTAGCATTATTAAATTTCCTTTGTAATTTTTTCTTTTAAATTTTACAATTAAAATAATAAAATTGTTATTATTATATTATAGAACCTGCAGATTTTGTTCATGTATTTGATGCACATACTTTTGAAAGATCACAAGTATTTGATTTATTCGGTGAGATTGCAGGAGTCACTTTTACACCAGATTCAGAAGGATTATATATTGCAAACGCCGATGAAAATTATGGGTAAATTACACGAGATTATTATTTTTTAATCTTTATTAATTTTTTACAAATATTTGACGCTATATTTATTTATTTTATAGGTGTATTTTAGAATATGAGAAAAGTTCTTCAATGAATAATAATGAAAACATCATTCTATGATTTAATTTCATTTGATGTTTATTACCATTATTATTATTATTATTACTATTCTTTTGATATTCATTTAAATTTAATTTGGTTGAATCAAAGCTAATAAATTAATTTTTTTCTTCTTTATAAAGTAGACTTTTATGAAGATAATATTTAATTAACACACATATATGTAATACCTTTTTTTTATTATTATTTAAATTTGCAATTGTACATTATCGTTTATACAAAATATGTATTTACTACTGCTACCACCATCATCACCATCATCACCACTATCACCACCACTACTAGTTACCATTGTCATATTACTCTTTATTGGTTAATATTCACTTTTTTTTTCTTGATGAAAAAAATAATATATATATAAAATTAAAAAAAGGAAAAAGATGCGATTGTTAACCATAATAAATAAATAATAAATAAATAATAAAGAACTAATATTCTTTTTATTACAATTTATATTAAAAAAAATATTACGCATGTACAAAACCTACGCCTACACGATTCATAGATATTAAATAATTATCATGGTAAATAAACATAAGCAGAAGCATAACTAACACTACTATCATTCTTATTTACTACTCTACTAGATTGTGAATAATGTACGAATCTAATCTTAGGTATTTTTGATGACAGCGATGATTCGCCAGAATTAGCAGTTTCTGACACTGCTTCCATTGTATTAGCTGCAGTAGAAGTATTAGGTAATGCTTCAATTGCAGCCAACAAAACTCCAATAGGATGTCTTCCACAAATAGTATTTTTAGTTCTTTGAAGATAATTAACAAAATTTTTATGATTAATTGTTTCAATAATTGACATTCCTTCACGATCAAGGTTTTCAATTGATTTATAAATTGGAATTGAAATTGATGATGGTTGGTGAATTTCATTATTGTTATTAGAAGAAAAAGGATAATCTGCACCTGAATAATAAGTATATGAAAATCTTTGTCCCCTAAAAAATGCATAAAAAATATAAATATTAATCGATAGATATATACATAAACACACATATATATGTGGTTTTGATTTTTTTTTTCTTAAACATACCAATGACAAAAATCTGATGAAATAATAAACAAATTGGATGGATCAGCAAGATATGGTGCTAATAATTTCCCATAAAATTCTTCTTTGCTTGAAGATAATGAGCCAACCATAATTGGTACAATTTTGATAGAGTTTATCTTGCTGAAAAATAAAAATCATTTACAAGTGGTTATATATATATATATATATGTGAAATTTAAATCCTTTAAATTTATTTTTAATATTCTCCCAAAAAAATTTTAATTAAAAACCTTTCAAAAATCTTATAAGTATATGGAAGATGCATTTCTATACTATGTTCTTCTTCATCAACAGTTTTTTCCATTTTATCAAAATGCCTAGTTTGAAACAACTCATTAATAACTATTATTATTATTTTTATCATTTAAAAGAAAAAATTGTTAGTATTATTAAAGTAGAAATAACAAAATATTCATTCTAACAAAATAATTTATTTACCAATTACCTTCAGTATCCAAAGTCAAATTTCCTAAAGGTGTGATATACTCTGTACATTGTGATAATGCACACTTAGTAAGATAAACATGATGAGATGGTCCAAGAATAAAAACTCGTTTTCTAAATAATAATAATAATAATAATAATAATAATAATAATTAAATATTTTTAATTATTTCCAAGATAAATAAGTTTATGTTACATACACAGATTCAGGATCTATACATTTATAAGCAAACGCAGATGCTTGTCCACTATACGAGTATCCGGCATGTCTTATTCAAAAAGAGAATAATAGAGTAGAATTGATCAAAAAAATATCAACCAATCAAAAAAAATATTTGATATAAATCATATAGATCATACGGAGCAATGATAGCACGAGCTCCAGGAATTGGTATTGGTATGTCATCTTTTGTTTTCGGTGGAACTTTTGATAACCAATTTGTAAGTTCTTTATCTAACAACGATTCTATCGTGAAAAACAAAAAATCAAAGTTATTTTTGAATTATAAGACACACACATAGAATCTTGCAAATAATTTTCTTTTTATAAAAATTATCTACCATTTACCTTGATCAGTGTACCAAGAACCAGCATGGTAAGCCTCTCTTATCATCTTTTTTGTGGAATTAAGATAATAATGATAATCCTTGCGATGGTTTATCACATTTCTATTTAGTATACGATTTTCACCAATCAAAAGATATTACAATTTGTATACCACTTAAGACTCATCTTGGTATACGATTAGTGCAAAAAATACATTAGAAAAAAAAGTAACAATTATTACTATGGGAAAATTAGTTCGCAATTGTGAATTGGGTAACGGGACCTCGCCACAAAATCAAGCATGTGGCGCGAAAACGTGGGTAGATTCTTTTTATTTTACTAATAAATTTTAACATTAATAAAATTATTTGTTATTGCTGCTGAAAATCGTTGCAGCCGTTGTTATTGCATTTGTTGCATATTTAGTCTTGAATTACTGGCACTGTGTTGACTATGTTGATTGTTGCTGTCGTCGTCATCAAGATGGTGATGCTATCGATTATTGTGAATAGAATGAAATTGTTCATTTTTAATTTTAATAAAAATAATAATTTAAATTTAAAAACGTGTTTTCATCGCCCACGTTCAAAGTTCCCATAGATGAGAAGAAAAAGAAACAAGTATTCACTATAACAAGTAGGCACCATTGATCAATTGCCGAATTTATTTTTTTATTTTTTAATTTGTTTTAAGATAAGAATCAATAGCAATATTGACCGTAAAAAATTTTAAATTGTGTAATGAAAAATTAAATAATGCCCAAAGTCTTAGATTCAAAATGAAAATTTAAATTTAAACACAAATACAAATCGTCTTATTAATTTCAAAATCAATCATGCCGAACTTTAGACCATGTGTAATAACTGGTTGCGAAGGAACTACTCAATTTGACAGATAGCTTTATTGTGAAAACAAGAAAAAAATAATAATATAATCTTATAAAAAGAATTATCAATTATATTCTAAACATTAACTAATATAAAAATAAAGGAACAATCAGAAAAAAAACCCAAGCGAATTATTAGATGTTGACTACTTAAAAAATTTTCAAGTAATGTCTGATTCATATGATGAATCTTCTTCATATTAATTAGTACTCCTGCTAATGAATTGGACTGATCAGATATCAAAGTTAATTTTACTGAAAAAAATGTTATTATGTCAAGAGAAGATTGTTCATTATTAGTCAATAATATGTCATAAATGAGAATAACAATCTATCAAATTATTATTATGCAGGAGAAAATAAATAAAATATTAAATTCCATTAATGAATCTTAGAGGAAATCTTCCGTTCAAAAATAAAAGTTATCACTTGACATTTGAATATATTCACAATTATTTCAAATTGTTAGTTGATTTCAAATAATCAACAAAAGTCATGGATCCTGTTAATCGTAGGATTTTATTTATCCCTTGTCTATACAAATATTATCATTGATGCAAAAAATTCTTTTACCAATAATAATTATAGTGGTGGAAAATTTATTAATAAGGAGTGAAATGATTATTAAATAATCTTTATTGTTTAAAAGCGTCTCCATGAAGTAATGATTGGAGCAAAATGTTACTTTTATACATATGAATAAAGTTAATTAATCTCAAACATTAAACATTAACACAGTTAGTGTGATTAATAAAAACTTTTATATGTATAAAACGCAGATTATTAATTAGATCACTAATCATCAACTTTTACGCATTATGCCTTTTGCTCTGTGAAATTATTACTCTTTGGTATATGAATGAATATTCTATATGTAATGCAGATTTGGGGTGTACTTTTAGGGTGGGGTTTTAATAACAAGTTCCCAAATATGCATAATAATAAACAGAGCTATGCTGGCACAACATCCAAATTTTCCCTCGCTACAATATATGTTTACTTGCTATTCGTAATACGTTTGATTATTCAAAATATTTATTATTACGTATTCATAATAATAGTACAATTCATAATATTCGTAATATTCGTAATGTTTGCAATAATATTCATTCAAACCATTTATGGTTATTTGAAATATTCGTAATATTTATGGTTAGTTGGCTATCCATCCATAACTAGCATAAACCTAATTCCAACGCAGTTTGGGTACTAATACTTTAATATTAAATGAGTGACTAGGCTCCCGGATAATTCTAAAGGTAATATAGATAAAAAGGAAAGTTTTCAAAATTACTATTATTCCCTTGTTGTTACACAAATTTTCTGAAAATTGAATTTCTTAATATTAATTCGTGAAGGAATGGTGATCGGTGAGGTGTATTCACTACATTTTATAGTAAAAATCATTCAGTTCGCCTTGTTTCCACTGCATTTTTCAAAACAAACATTTGGATATCAATAAACACTGTTGTGAACTTTTTTGTCTAAGTTTCTTTCGCACTATTTGGGATTTACAAATAATAAAATGACATAATATAAAAAATTATGTTTATTGGTTTATATTTTGTTTATGCCATAATAATAATGTCCAATTCTTTTTTATGTCACTGCTAAAATGTGATACCCAATTTTCTACGGTTTTTATTTTTGGTAACTCATCTGCATCCAATTCACTTGCTTCCACTCTTTGTTTTAGATCTGCGAGCAGTGAATCTATTCTGATCTACATTTCCTAACAAAAATAGGCTCTTGGAAGTTAATTTACTTGTTCAGACATGCATTTACTTCCACCATCCTTTCCAAAATTTTGCTTTTCATGAAAAGTCCAACCTAGCTCAAAGTAATTCATTCTAAAAATTTTAAAATTAACATCTAGAAAATATTAAAATTTTTTCCTATTATGGTTCACTCTCTC